GTGAATAATTCACAGAAATTATCCCCTTACGTTACTAGAAGGTTAACGACCAGACGTACACTCAGGCAACTATGGTCAATATTTTAACACATTAGCATGTTTTTTGAGTTTGATTAAGACACTACTCTGGTGTCCGGATGACCGCACGCCTCAATAGAAAGGGACCATAGGAGGTGATATTGATACTCTTATTCATTGATGCAAACTTTGACGCTAATACTGATTAACAATACACTAATAATGATGTTAACGCTGATGCTAATTCTTATGCTAACATTAACAACAATATTAGCTTACATTGAAGTTTACATTAACGAAAACATTAACACTAACATTGATGGTATCATTTGCGCAAACATTTGGTATACGCCATGTAAACACACCCCAAGGCTCAAGTTATGAGAGTAATATCATATCAACAATATGTAGTAAATGACTAAAAGATGACCCGTGACCATTACTAAATCCTGGTGTCAATATAGGCATACCACCTTTAAGGTTTAATTGCATAATTAACGCATTTCATTTCATTTAAGGGAAACTATATAAAGCAAGTATGCGAAAGGAGCGAAATAATGGAGACTAGGGGTGGTCATTTTCAATCTTTCAGGCTGCATAATTGGTTGAGTCAAATGAACATAACGATATTTAAAAAAAAATGCATTTAAAAAATATTGTAAGGATTTGATATTACACGACAGGAATCCATACCGTCAAAGAGCAGAACACCATAAAATTTAATCCCACAGAGTATTTCATTTAAGTTGAAAGTCCAAAACATATGCAGTAGGTAGGTACATCAAATAACGTATTGTTTATCTAACGAACATGATAATTGGAGCTTAACTGAGTGATGAGGAAACAGTCATGCAGTCAGCTATCACCTGAGGGAGGTATAAAAGCTCTCAGCCATACACCTCTTCATCCAGTCAACAACTGAACTTGATCCTCCCAACATCAGTATGGTAAGACATAATTTATTAAGTAATTTACAGCAGTTGCTGGTACAGGTGAATGTATAGTTCAGGACAGATTTAAAAATTATATTATGAGCAAATGGTGTACAGGTTCATTATAGTAAAGTCTGTACTGAAGAAAACTGTATATCAAAGAAAGTAAACAAATTTCATGTTTTATGCACATAAATAAACAATACCCTTCTTCGTTTGGCAAAAGAACTTATTTGTAATACTATTTAATTCATGAGAATAACTTACTAATATTATTTTATCTCTGACAATTTCAGAAGCTGTTGTTAGTGACCTTGGTGGTGGGGATCCTGGCTGTGACCAGTCTCGCCAAGCCAGATGGGCATGGAAGTGGCGGCGGTAGCGGAGGAGGGTATAGTGGTGGTGGTGGTGGTGGCCATGGAGGTGGTGGTGGAAGCGGTTATAGTGGTGGTGGAGGCGGATATAGTGGTGGCGGAAGAGGTAAAAGTGATGGCGGTGGCGGTTATCGTGGCTCAGTCGGCGGTGGTGGCGGTTATGGTGGCTCCAAAAGTGGCAGCGGTGGGTATGGTAGCTCCAGCGGTGGTGGCGGAGGGTATGGTGGTTCCAGTAGCAGCGGTGGTGGGTATGGCAGCTACAGCGGCGGTGGTGGTGGGTATGGTGGCTCAAGCGGCGGCGGTAGCGGTGGTTATGGGGGTTCAAGTAGCGGCGGTGGCTACGGCAGTGGCGGCTCCGGAGGTGGCGGTTATAATGGTGGCGGTGGAGGTTATGGAAAATAAATGTAAACATAAAGAAATGAGACACACCAGTACTAAGTTTCATGAATTCTTCTTCGTCAGTTTGTGTCTCGTGATTCTTGTGTAGTAATAATAAAACTTAAACGACTGTGAAAATAACTTTGATTGACACCAACTTCACTCTCCTGACATCGTTTACCAAGAGTAATGCAAAAGCAAATAAACTGTAGAATTTGATGGTTAATTTTACTGGCAGGTAAATTAAAGTTAGTTTTCATATTGCTAACATTCTGTCTAATATATATTTGGAATATTTTATCAATCTAGTTTTCCACTGTTTGCAGCCTGTGCTTTGTTTCTTTCATATTTCCAGATTTCTTACTATATATATATATATATATATATATATATATATATATATATATATATATATATATATATATATATATATATATATATATATATATATATATATATATATATATATATATATATATATATATATATATATATATATATATATATATGCTGATAACCACAAGGAAAAAGAAAACACGAAGTTCGTACCCGCTTTCGTGTAATTCACATCTTCAGGGGTGAGTACAAACTGTACAGTCTGTACTCACCCCTGAAGATGTGAATTACACGAAAGCGCTTGGGAACTTCGTGTTTTCTTTTTTCCTTGTGGTTATCAGCATATACCTGGATCACGCGCACCTACAGTGCGTTAATGTTCGAAATAAGGCAGAGTATTGCGTTTTATATCTAGAAGTGTAAGTAACAAGAGTGCAGAGGTCTTATTGCAACTGTATCTTGCGCTAGTCAGGCCGCACCTGGATTATGCGGTTCAGTTCTGGTGCCCCTATTATAGAATGGATATAAATTCACTAGAGTCGGTGCAGCGAAGAATGACAAAAATGATTCCGGGACTTAGAAACCTTCTATATCGGGATAGGTTAAAGAAACTAAACTTGCATTCCCTAGAAAGACGAAGGGTGCGGGGAGATATGATAGAAGTATTTAAGTGGGTGAAAGGAATCAATAAAGGGGATATAGATAAAGTTCTTATAATATCCGAGCAGGATAGGACTCGGAGCAACGGATTCAAGTTGGATAAGTGTAGGTTTAGGAGGGAGATAGGAAGAAACTGGTTCACAAATAGGGTGGTGGACGAGTGGAACAAGCTTAGCAACTTTGTAGTAAGTGCGGGAACTCTGGAAAGTTTCAAAATGAGGCTAGATAGATTCATGGATGATAGAGAGTGGTAGTAATTCTCGACAGGAGCTGACATGCACAGGCCAACCGGCCTATTGCAGACTCCTTATTTTCTTATGTTCTTATGTTCTTATATATATATATATATATATATATATATATATATATATATATATATATATATATATATATATATATATATATATATATATATATTTCCAATAAATTTCTAAAATTTAGTTCAATAACAGGTCTGTTTCTATTACTTATACTGTATATTACTCCGTATTAATTATATCTTGCTATATTTTCCATCTACAAAATACACAATAGTTCTTACACTCCCCCTTTCCTGACAAATAATAATGAAAACTCCATCCTCAGTGTCCAATGATATATTTTATATGGTGGCACCATTTACATTTCTGAAATTAAATATGATAGATATGTATGAGTTAAGTCTCCATTCCAACCCCCGAAAAAAAGGACAATACTGATGCTATTTATCTGCCTCAACCCAGAACTTCCTGAAGGTGGGACCTGCTTAATATTGATATAAATCCTGTAACCTGGAGAGTCGCAGTGAACTCAAGATATAATTCACCCACCCTGAACTATTTCTTCATCCCTGAATTATTGATTAGTGTGTACAATATTTAAGGTTAAGTTCCTTTCCTTAATCAGATCTCACTCATGATAATGGATATGTGGATAACTATGATAAACGAATTCTTTCATTGACTGTACAGTACATCCTATGTAAGTGAGGATTAAATAGCTCCTATCGTTAAACTCGGATTATACTTATATTAATTACCTCAAAACCTAATATCAATGTAGTTATGGTAAAAAATTCATCTCTATGTCCTTTGTTACTGCAGTTAGTAGTCGAGGGCGCAATTTTCAAGTTTTTAATAGTTGTTAGTTACTCACAGTTCATTATAATAAATGAGTGAAAGGTAATACGAGTAGTAGTTACATCAGAGGCAACGATACCTGGTAGAGGAGCGGCAAAGTGTTGAAAATTGGCATGAGGATTCAACATGGGTTAATTATCAAATCTCCCTGATACGACAATGAAAATTCCAAAATGGCCACCAAAAGCGGATGTCAGATTTTCCTTTTGGGATTAAAGTATATTGTGTTCATCAATTCAGGTGATTTCAGTGTTGATTTCCGTGTTTTTGAGTACGTAGAACCTGAATTTTGTGTTGAAAACTCTGAAATGGAAAGCATTCAAAGGAAACATGCTTATGAAGAGTAAATGTCAATGTACTACCAGGGCACACTGGTGACAACACTGCTGTGAAACTCAAAATGGGGTTCAGTGTCAACTAATTACGAAACTTATATTAAAGATTAATTTATATATATATATATATATATATATATATATATATATATATATATATATATATATATATATATATATATATATATATATATATATGTGTGTGTGTGCCTCAAATAAGGTTAGGTAGCCGCACCAGAATTGACAGAATGTACCAGCCTGGGAGAGCCGAGCCAAGAGTAATGGGGTTAAAGTTAGGGCAATCAATTGATTAAACCTAGTTGTATCTCATAGAAGGAAAGTACGCATGATACAGAGTGGTAAAAGGAAAAACATTCGACTCTGTACCACAATGGCGATGAATATTGGTCCTAAAAGTAATCCTGGGCCATGTGCTGTGTGTGTCATGATATAAAAAGGAAGAACTTAAATCTCCAAGGACTAACGCTACTAGAAGAGAGAAAGATGGCTACAGCAAATTAGCCAAGAATATTCCTCTTTTCAACTCAATCAATGCCCTTCCAATAAGGCTTGATATGGAAACACTAGATGATGGAGATGGTATTGCAGAGACAATGAGGAAAAATACTGCCAAATATCATGAGAGCTGTAGATTTAGGTGAGCAACATAATGTTGCAAAGAGCCCCAAAAAGCGCAACCACCTCTGTAGTTGACAGTGATGAAGGTTGCCGAAGTAAGGTGCTATGAAAGCCAAGAGACACAAAAAACACAACAGAATGCTTTTTGTGTGACAAACCAGCACCAGAGAGTGCTCTCCGTCAAACAATGACAATGAAACTCAGTGACAG